CAATTATCCCAGCCGTTCAAGCGTAAATGGCTGCTCTTGGCTTCGGACACACTTGGCACAACATAATGTCCTCATAGACATTTTTAAAAACGTGCTCAGTGAGTGTAACGGTCAGGGTAAATACACACACAAATATGAAATGGATGTATTGAACATGAATATTATAGAGATTACTGTTATGTCAAAGGCATAAATAAGTATCGTTAAGGGAGAAAAGGAGATTTTCCTTTCTACTGAGTTATCAAATGCACAAGGTATAAAAACAATGAATACACCAGAAAAGAGTCTGGATTCGAGATTTAAAGGTCGCCTATTATGCAAAATACACTTTTTCCACATCTTTTATACATAAACATGTGTCCCCTCTGTGTTAAGAGATTCTGAAAGTTTCAGGAAAAAAGATTGGCTCACTTTTTCTCCTGATCCATTTATAAGAACCTGTCTGAAAATGAGCTGATCAGATTTTGACCACTTTATGATGTCATAATGTTTTTTTGGGTTGTGTAACCATTAGCCAATAATCAACCAAGGTATCCCCCCCCCCCCCCCCACCTTATCACCTGAATCTCCTCCTAGTGCAGGGGTTCCCAAAGTGGGGGTCGCGAGATGATTCCAAAATAATAATTCTTTTTTTAATCAATTTAATTTTTTTTTATAATTAATAATAACGTGTGCATAGACATTTTTCAGGGGCGTACTGGCCACCTGTATAACTTCCCCGCAGCGAGTCTCCCCCCGTTGACAATCCACTGCAGTGTTTCTCAAGCTTTTTCATACCAAGGACCACTTAACCAATAATAAAAAATGTTTATGCAGCCCCAACAACAGCCTCTGATCATCAACAGACTTCATGCAATGCTTCATTGGATGCATATATTAGATAATAATCTCTATCTCAACTCTTAAAACATCTAAATCTACTTTCAGCATGATAAATGTTCATAAAATACATCCATTGTTTGTTTATATACGCTTCTTGAAATCCTAAAAAACACCTCGTTTTCTAGAACAGATTAGAAATCGCCTGAAAATGTTACAAACAAGTGGCAACATGTGTGACGAAGGTGTTGCGCTGGGCTATATCATGCAATCGAAACTTCAGCTCGCTCCATTATGGAGATAGTCCCGCGAGAGTGCGGAAAACTTAAAATAATTTATTTATTCACTAGCACCCCCCCGTTGACAGGGGTCGCCAGTCTCTGGCACTGTTATTTTGGGGGTCGCGGGCTGAAAGGTTTGGGAACCCCTGTCCTAGAGCACCATTGTACCCAAAATATCTCTCAGAGGCTCCTTATTTTCATCTAAAGTAACAGACAGAGAATCAGCACTTTTGAAACCAGGGCTGAACAGAGGGGTTTAGGGGATGCTTCAATGGGTGATCTGTTTGGAATTTGGAGCCAAACACTTCAGAGATATGTTTTGTATGTATCTGAGAACTATAATATATTGAGGAAAAACAGTATAAATAGGGGGACCTGTTAAAAAAGCCTCAATGTGTACGCATATGCACTGTTCGAAGAGGCAGGTTGCTTGCACAGTAGTTTGAATCAATATCAGGGTGTTTGACTGCATGACACAAGGACAGAGAACAGAGCAGGAAGCCGTGCCACTAACCTGCCCACCCAGACAAACCATCTGTTCAAAAAACATTGCCTGGAAACCGCAGCTTCATTAAGAGATGTGAGTACTTATCCAGCCTCCCTAAAGCTCAGCCAGGATAAATAATAGTCTCTCCGTCCAGCGCTAGTGCCTGTCACCCTGAGAGATTTCTATAAATATTGTAGCCGATGTCCAATACGGTTATGGTGAACACAGTAAATATTGCAGATATGATTGTGATGCACATAAAATGTCAGGTTAAAGATCACAGTTAGATTTACAGATAGATATGATATGGAGTCTGGAGCATGCTACTGGCATAATTATCCAGGTTTATTGGTTGATTATAATTATTCCATTTAATTGTGATGACATTTGAATCACGCTGGTTGCAAAATACTTTGTGATAAGACAATACTTATTTAATGTGCCAGTGAATTATTCTCTGTTGTTGATCTATTTTGATACGACAAGTGCTTCCCTTTGTTTTCTATTCTGCAATTCACGGCTTCTTTAACTTTAAATCGTCAGGATTACTTTTTTTAAATCTTACCAAAACATATCTCATCATAGCAAACTAAGTCTTTGATTGAGAGACTGATGTCTGGCAGAAAAGTTTACGCGTGTTACAGACACAGCCTTTTTGAGAAACTGCAGCAGATAGAAGTGTCTCATGATGCTGTTAATGGCCTCAAGATGCTTGTGTTTGGTAACAATGCCTTTTTTAGTAAAAGTGGGATGTGTGTTTGTTTGCTTGAATCTCATCACCTCTACTCTGTTCACCGTTGTTTAAATGTAGCTAATTTAAGTCACCCTTAAATCAACCTTCAATGTATTTCATATTCACTTACACTAAAGCTTTGAATCCTTAGATATGCAGCACCTTCACCACCAATGTATTTTGAGCAGCTCATTAATATTTGGTATAACTTTCGGTATGATTTGTCATTCTTCACAATTACCCCTGATGGCTGAAAACTGAAAGTAATTTAGTCTGTTAACGACGGCAGTGTGTTTTCACGTACTGTCTGTGGTGTGTGTCTTTGCACAGTCACAAGGTCCTTTTGTCCTTGCGTGTTGTTTGTGTCAGTGGGCAGTAAAAATGCTAGACCACAAGTCCTCTGCAACAAAGTCACAAGTGTCAGGCCCGTGTGATTTAATCACATAAAGCCACAGAGATTTGTGCGGAATTTCATAGAAGGTTTATAGTCTATTCTTAGAAAATGTGTCTCTATAATTATGACTGTGAATGGATATCAAAAGATGTCAGAGTTTATTTGAACCGTCATATTAAGACATGTTGCAGGTAAAATGATTCAGGTAAAAGTAAATATCAAACTATATTTGAGGGTAAAACCAAAAATGATGTTTCAAAAAACAAAAGTAAGGGACTTGAGACCAGACAATAATAACTTAAATCTTATATTATTGTAGAACTGCAGTCATTTGGATTTAATGTGTGATAATAATTGATCTTGTCTGGATCTATAAAGTCAAAATGAATACTGTGCTCATTTGATTTGTCATCTCTCAACGTATATTATGTAGCAGTTCAGCGATGTGTCTGTAATCTGTTTCTAAGCTGTCCACAATTACACTGTATTGTGGCATATACACATATACATACACCTTGCTAGGAAAAAAGCTATTATCATAAACATAATTAGGGAGAGTAATTACATGCGTTGAGCAATTAGGGAACTTCTGCCCTGCAGTAATTAAAGATTTGGGGGTATGAAAGAGTATTTATGGGCTGGTTTGCAGACCTCTGAGAGAGGAAGGTTCTCTGAGAAGCAGTGGACTGCAGTGTTGTTGACAGACAAACAACAGCAAGCCCCATACTGTGTGATAAGGTGGAGTGGTAGTGTAAAGGGGAAGTCACTCAGTGTGTGGGAGTTGCTGATTCAGTCTAGTCTGAGGATCTGTAAAAAGAAAGAAGCTCATCTGAAAGTCTCATTCATCCCCCAACAATCACAAGAGTGCTCTTCAACACGCTGCATGGTGGAGCTGCTCAATGACAGAAAGCAAGGGGCTGTTTACCCCTGCTGAGGTGTGAGGCCATGTAAATGCAGCAGTGCATTATGTGCTCAGTGAATCCTCCTGGGTAATAGACATTCACGGTGGAATGGTCTGTCTCCGTGCCTTTCTGAATATTTATTGGCTCTCAATTAGTAAGCTACAGTTTGAAAATAGGTCCATTACCTGCATGCAACACACAACAGTCTGTTTGACTTGTTCTCTGAATTCTTGTTCTTCCACAGCCAACCTTTTAATTGAATGAATGTGGTCATGGCAGACAGTGGAGTTTTCAATGTCAAATGAGGGTCTTATGGAAGGGCAGCCAGCCACTTGTGGGTCTGTGCAACCTGCTCACAGAAGAAGAGGACATGGAATCCCCTTTGCATAAAAGACATGGGGATATCAAATCTGATCTGAGTTATCTCTTTATTGTACTCTGCCTGGCTTCTCATTGTGAGGACCATTTGCCAAAACAAAACCTTCGCTTGAACAGCTTTGCACTTCGATTAATGTAGCAAAAACAATCAGAATGTTCCAATTCATATTTTAGATAGCCTAAGAACAGCACTGTGCTATGGGTAGTTGTTTTGAAGTATTCATACAATTCAAAACGTCTTACAAGAGATTTAATCGGAGTCAAAATAAATGTATCTCACATCTTAATAGTTTATATGTCATAGATTTCCTGGATAATGTGTTGCAATCTGCATTTGTATAGTTACAAGTTTGCCATTCATCACATCCTGTTTCTTCATTCCGCCTCACATTTCAAGACTTGTCTCCTTGAGTCTGAAGGTCTTTTCTCTTGTCTTAAAACAATTGCCTGAAACAAGTGTATCCCTTTGCAATTAAGTCTCACAGTTGCCATGGATATAGTCAGGCGATACAGCATTGTATAAAAATATGACGTTTACTCACAAGTTAAATACAATGTTCCATGTATGGAGACCTTGGCATGTGTTGTATGTCCTTGGAAATCATAACGTGCTGTGATTGTAACTATCGTAGTGTCTTTTGTATTGAGGCAAAATATTTGTTTGTCTTTTTGCCAAATATCAGAAGCAAGAACATGAACCAAAAGAAAGACAAGGTAAGGGGTTAAAAAGGTGAACATAGCATGCAGATTGTCTTTGTTTCCCAGATATTGTGGAACATTTGTGAACAATATCTTTACTATTGACCCTTTTTACAAGCAGACCCACAGTTTAGTGTACACTCAGATTTGTAGATGTGGAAAAGGAGCGCACACCGGCTGGAGCTCTCCGGGGACCTGACCGTCCTGTAATGGTTTGCCAGGTGGACGTTGCACTTAGATATAACAGCTCTTAAAACATGACAGTAAAACATGCAACCAAGCAAAGAAAACAGAAAACAGTGCTCACCTTCCACCTCATCCTCAGGCAGGATAACAGGGGTCCGGTAGGAGAGGACATCTGGAATAGTGCAAAGTCCCTTGTACATGAACCTGGTGGTCACTGCACGCACAGGCATTTCTGCGAGGGAAAACCAACTGGGTCGCGATCTTCATATATCCTATCCGGAGTTTAGAGACAGACCCTTTACTACCGACGTTGATATTCACAAAATCTCAGAAAAATAAAACAGGAAAAAACCTCCGCAAAGTTCAAACTCTCGTCGTGTTTTTTTTCTTCTCGATAATGCTAAACAACCTTGCACTGCGCGTTTCTCCAAGAATGCAGCTTGTGAATCGCCTTTGGTTTCAATGCATAGCCTTTAGCAGGTTACTGCAAGCAAGATGTGAAGCATGAAAAATACATATCAAACTTTTACTTCACAGCCTGATGACGATTGTATGCTATGTAATAAGCATTGGATGCGATCCGATAGATGCACGTGCTACTTTGTCATGTTTCTATCCCAGCTCCTGCAATACAAACAGAAAGATGATGAATTAAAAAATATCCGCACTAAATCTTACCTTTTCGCTGCTGGTTTCACTGAATCCTACAAGGCGTGTTGTTCTTCCAAACTGTCTACTTTCGACACAATCTCCCTCACTTTACTTCCCCGTTTCGGCATCTTCTTTAAGAACAGTGACTCGATGTTACAAGGTAAAACGACTGCACTGACGAGATGATACTATCCGTTAAACGAGGTGCAAAGAAAAGATTGTAACATTTATTTTTTCCCTGGAAAGCAGCTTCAAGGGAATCCTAGTGACCCCCCCCCCTCATCTGATACAGACACGAAACAGCGATCCTCTCTCTCTGCTGTCTGCTCCAGTCTCATTTGGCACATACACACACACACACACACGCACGAACGCGCGCGCCACCACACACACACACACACACACACACACACCACACACACACACACACACACCACACACACACACACACACACACACACACACACACACACACACTTTCTCACAGCGGAGAAGATTGACCGTTTCCAAACTGTAATGAGATTATCTTCATTTTCTGCACTAATCCAGACTGTATGGTCAATGTTAACACGATTAAAAAGTACATTTGGGAAGATATAAAAGCCTTCATGTTTACATAATACATAAAAAAGTGACAATTATTGCAACAAGTGAGGCACAAATGGAAGGTGAGGGACCGATCAATGTAATGATAAGCCTCAGGCGACTTGGTACCAGAGAGCTTATGATCAGCTATAGTTTAAAAAGAGAGACTTGGTTTTGAGAGACTTGGATAAAGGGAGCCCCCATCAACCAAATCAATTAATAATAATAATAATAATAATAATAAGTTTAATTTATATAGCGCCTTTCATCAACCCAAGGTCGCTTAACAAAGAAACATAAGGAAAAAATAAAAAACATAAAACAGGGGGCAGAAATGGAAGTGTTACATTGCAGGGGGGGGAGAGTGAGTAAATGTTGGAAGGCTTTGCTGAACAGATTAACAATTAACCAGGCTAATACGTAGTTCAACATTTTTTGGAGATACCATTTTAGTTTTTTTTGCTGCAGAATAAGATGTAGAAATTGATAGGGGGTGATATCAATCTTTTCATCTCATTCTAAATTAAGAATATGAGTTTTTCCCAAAATATATAACCATTTAAAGCACTGAATTGGAGCTTATCAGTGTGAGATATCATTAGTGAGAACATTAGCGTAGCAATTTACATTGAACAGACTGCAGAAGAAGAAGCAATTGTCATTCATGCAGGTTGAGCAAATATTGACATATTTCCTACAAGAGGATAGTTTTTATAGAAATGCTGCGAATGCCAGGGATTTAAAGGGGATCAACTCCCTTATGTATTCTAAAACCAACAATGGATAGAAGAGGAAATCTGAATTTACTCATGAAATATTTTTTTTTCTAGAATAAAGTAAACCCCAATGGGTTACAGGCACCACACACGTTTTTTGTTATTTAAAGCCAAAACGAAGCAGCAAACATCCTCTTTTTTTTTTGTTCAGAGGAGGCTGCATGACTCACTGAAATGTGATGTATGTTCAGTGTGGGCAAACCCTCGGAAAACACAAACCATACATTACCCGATGAGAATGGCTGCATCTCGCAGGATGATGCAGTGTTAGTATCATTCCACCCTGCGAGAGAGCAGCATGGTTCCACTGGTTGGTTCTTCAAGGGTTTACAGGACTGACAGGTCTATTCCCGTCTGAATGTGAAGGGATTGTCTCTCCCTGCTGCACCTGAGCCTCCTGCTGGCTCTGTATTCACACAAGAAAAAACTTAAAACATGAATAACAGGCTTTGTTCTCTCTCAGATTCTCCACAACATGGATATGTGATGGCTCTGTTTCTGAGACTTTAATGATTTTCACAAAGTCTTTGAAACTGTGGAAACACGCAGGATATGTTATGCCCCAAGCCAGTCAAATCTGCTGTTTGTAAAAGACAAAAATAAGTAATGCAAGTAATGCAGTTTGACGTCTGCAAATCCCATGTTGGAATCAAGCATAGGAGAGTAACTAAGTAGAAGGCTAATATATGCTTAGCAGGGTGTAAATGGAGCCATTCAGGGCAGACAGATGATCCCGGCCTGAGGGCTGTCACTGTCAGAGAGCACCCCCGTCCTGACATCCGTCACATCATCATCATCAAATGAAGCCTCTGGGGAGGGCTCTTCTATATTGCAAGGATTTATGCCCTCCGTCTGACATGGGCCCAGACAAACAATGAAGCGACGCCACAGGAAGTGTAAAGCAGCAGAGTCATTCACTGCAGTTTCAAACCTACATATGAAATATCCTACACCTATTGTACATTATTTAAATGGAAGGTTGGAGAACAAAAGATTAACTTGGAGATTTGGTTTTACTTTTGGGGATTTGGAGAAATTGAAAGATTACATTCACCCGAGTGTGTGTTGCCTGGGGCCTGGATTCACAAACATATCCTCGTTTGTAGTGTTGGATCAGCCTCAGTGTTGTTTAAGATTATTATAATGTGACAGGTTCGATACTTGCCATGAGACATTTGTGGCAAAACGTATTTATTTCTTTTTTTTCTCTCTTGCTCCCATTTCTACACTGTCATCTGTCAAATGAACGTGAAAATGGAAAAAAAAGAAAAATAATGACTATAAGCAGTTTCATAAAAATCTGACTGAAGTCTCAGGCTAACTATATGTTTCCATGGTAACAGTGACCTTTGCAGACCAGTGGTACCCACATGACAAAATATGGATTATAGGATTTTTAGAGGCTCCAGAAACATTGTTGGAAACATACACACGTGTAGACATGGACAGCTCTGCCCGTCTGAACTGCGTTGGATTTAAGTCCTTTTTTGTATTTAATTATTCCGATGGGAACTTATTTTAACTGCATTTTTCCTGCAAGGCAAACGTCTGCCGGAGTGAGTGATTCGGTTTGACTGGTTGCTCACTGAGTTTGGAAGGTCTTAATTTAATTGAGTTTTCCCAAAAGCCATACAATACTAGCTTAGTGTTAAACATACAAGAAGCAAGTTCCTATTTCATTAAAAGCACTATAACATTCATTATTGTGTCCATGTTAGTGTGGAGATGTTTGACTAGTTACTTGCAATGACATTCATGTTTACCCAGGTAACACAGGTCACATTTTAAAAGAACAAACTCTAAGTACATTTTCCCTGCATGGCAAATGCAATCTCTAAAACCATCAGAGCAGAGAGAAGTTCCAGAAATCTCATCAATGGCACCGAAATCAAAACAGCTTACTGTCAAAGATTCATTTGAGCATATTGATTGCTTTTGTAATTGACTGAAGAACCTTGTGTTTCAGAAACTTTGAGGTCGTCTCACAGACAGAATTGATGTGATCAGAATCATAACACCTCCCCACGTGTCAGATACCTATTGTTTTGTATATCTCTTACCTTCTCCGGGGTTTGTTAGAGTATTTAGTTTATCGCAGTAATATATTCACATCTGAGCTCACAGTCAGTGGAGAATTTTATTTATATAGCCCCAAATCACAATCATGAATAAAGTGAAATCCCCAAGGAGAAACCTGAGGAAGAGCAACAGATAGAGACGTTATAAAGGGAAGACAAACTAGAGTGAAATTACAATATGGAGATAAGGAAGGAATTACAACCCTGAAAATAATGCATTCAATATATAGCTGCCGTCCAAAGAACACCACATATTTCACATTTCTGTGTTTTTGCTTCCAACTGGGTTGAGACAAATCTGTTCATAGTTGTTTTTTTACCCTCTGGAAAGATGACACTCATTGTTTATATGTTTATTCTCAGGTGAATATCCTCAGTGAATATTTGTTCTCGATATATATTTCCAAAGTCAATACATTATGATAAACAACATGAAATTGTAAAGTGTAAGTATCATCAGCAGAGGAGTAATCAGAGAGTGCAGTGTGTAGAGGCGACCTCGATACACTTGTAAAAAAGGGCACGTACTAACTGTAAGGGAAACTTCTGTGTAGTGGGACTAGTGTAAATGCAGTGGGAGTCACCGACTCAGGAAAGAGACACGGGAAGAGCAGGAGCTTTGATGTCAAACACTGATGGTTTATTTGGAGCTTCGGCCGGAGAATTCACATCACAAGTCACAGCAGCCACGATCTGACTGCACGGTAGAGTTGCCACGTCAATTCTGGAGCGCCTCTCTCTCGTTAGCCCATTTAACTGGTTTCACAGAGAGTAATCAACATATTTTGATAAGATAGCTTAGACAGTTGGGAACACTGAGTCACTTGCGTCCGTCACTTATGGCCTCGAAGATTTCATACCTTGGAGTCCACAAACACAAAGGGAAGTGTCCAGTGCACCCACAACAATAGACCATCTGTGACCTAGGGTTGCCCGGTCACAGAAGGGGAACAATAACATTATGGCTGAAGCAGCCTATCTCCTTAAAGGAGAGAGCAGACGTCAGGGTTGGTCATGTACGTCATATCTAGGACAATTATTTCCCTAACACTAACAGCAGAGGATGTGTGTTTTCCATGTTTACCACAATAAAACAGGCCCTTAAGATGTCAGCATTATTGCTTAATCTCCACTGATGATTTTTCCTGGATGTTCTCTATTATGTTCCTCTTGAGGTCACCTTATTACATTGCATTTAGCATACGCAGTTCACCTTCTTCACTTATCTCCTAATGTCAGAGATCCATTAACTTTCCTTCAAAACGTGTTTGTTATTATCATTATGCTTTTAGTTGAGAAGTTGGCACAACACACACATTTTTGCAGTTTTTGTCACATCGTCTCATTATCATTTTCCCCATTGTGAACTGTGAGCTGCAGGTATAATTGGCAATTAGACATTGGGGTGCATGATGGTCTGTAATGCGCAGTGATTCATGAATATTTCATAGTAAAATGCTTTACCGCAATTTACATTCACCGTGAGCACCTGCTCTGGCTCAGTCCACTTCCCTGACACTAATTTGTCGTTGCTCCGGTCAGACTGTACCTCACTCCAGTCTTTACGTGAACCAAGGGTTTAATGCCTGTCTGTAGACGAGGGTTATAATGTCACCACGGTGTAAAACATTTCTACAATGTGACGGAAAATGTAAGTCTTGAATGTTGTATTCATTGATTTGAAGTTAATTCACCCCGTAGAGCTATGAGACAACACACTTATCCCAGAAAATAAACTACTTGCTTATTTTTAGAAAACAGATGACCAGACATTTGGGTATTATCTGCCGCCTGTTCCTATATATTTCTCTGTTCACGTCTCTGACACCACATTATGATGAATTCCTTAAATTACCTGTTGCTGTGGCAGATGGCCCGCTTTGTC